AAAGAATTCAATTATTTAAAAAGAAATTTTAATAAAATTCCACTGACAAATTCAATTATTTTTAAAAGTAATATAATTCTTCGTAGAAATTCAATTATGTTCGTCAAAATTACAATTATTTTTATAAATAATAAAATTCTTCTCAGAAATTCAATTATATTCAAAATTTACGTAATAAAACGTTTTTTTCTCGAAAAATGAAATTATTCTTAAAAATTGAATTAAAATTTATCAAAAAAATTCAATTATTTTAGAAACCTTTGCCTACATTTTCAATACATTTTTGATTAAATTTTTTCAAAGAATTAAATTATTTTCAAAAATTTTAATAAAATTCTTTGTAACAATGCAATTTTCTTGGTTCAAAATAATATTAATAAATTTTGGCAAAATTCAATTATTTTTCAATTATTTTTGTAATAAAATTTTCATTAAATTTCTTCGAAAAATGAAATTATTTTTAAAAATGTTATTGACATTTATCAAGAGAATTCTATTATTTAAAAATTTGTTTATGAAAATTCAATTTGAAAAAACATTCAATTATCTAATAAAATATTTATTTTTGTATTTAAAGAATTGAATTCTCGTAGAATTTTCTAATAAATATTGATTTAAAAATGAATTTCAGTTAAAATTTTCGATTATAATTGAATATTGAAAGCATTATAGCGTAGATTTTTAGAAATAATTAAATTTCCAAAAGGTTTCAATTTAAAATCTTTGAAAATTTGAACTTTTCATACTTTTAATTACGAATTTTGCAAAATTAATTTTTTTTTTAATTATTTCAAATTTTTAATTTCTAATATATTTAATTGAAGAATGTCAGAATAATTGAAATTTCGTAAAATTAAATTGTAAAGAAAAGGATTTGTAAATTTTCAAAGATCTTTTTCAAAAATTATTTTAAAAATTGACTTAAAGAAGAATTTTAGTTGAAAATTCTAAAAATGAATATCATAATCGAAAAAAATTTCTCTTTTTGTGAGAAATTCAATGGTCATAAAATGAAAGGTGACGAAAAATTAAATTTTGACCCTTTTGAATTTTTATTTTTCTTATAAAAATTGTTAGATTTTAAAATCCATGGGTAATTTTGTAGAAAATATTTTTTTGAATTCCACAAAAAAATGCTTTAAACAAAAAAAATTGATTTTTATAATTTTTGAAGCATTTTTTTCGAAAAAAGAACTTTATTTCTAAACTAAAAATGCTGAAAAATTACCATTTTTGATCGGAAATTAGTTAGAAAAATAAAGAAATGATTTTTCAAATAAAAAAAATTGAATGAATTGTATTTTTCAGCATTTTTCAGCCTAAAAATAGTTTTTTTAAATGCTTCAAAAATTATAAAAATCAATTTCTTTATTTAGCAATTTTTTCGTATATTTCAAAAACTGAAGCTTGAGAAAAACTCTAATAAAAAAAAAATAATAAATGATAATTTTCTTAATTTTTACCCGAGGGATATAGTTCTAAAAAAATTTTATCCCTTCCCTCCTATTCTTACCGGGTGTTTATTATGTTTTAAAGGAAATGTGTGTTATTTACAAATATGTAAAATAATTCACCCATGACCTGAATGTGAATTCTCCTTGGAAATTTCTACTATTCCTGTCCTCCTCCTTTACCACCACTGCATTTGTGAAACAAATTAACCCCCAAAATAATTGCCTTGAGATCACAAGTGTGGGAAGTGGGGATGGAGGGAAGGAGGGGTCCTTTGTATACCGTTGAGTAAATGTCTTGAATATTGTACACGAAATGAGATCGGTTAACAGTCTTTATGGAAATGCAATTTAAGAAAACAGTTTCCTACAAAAAAAAAGGGAAATATAAATAGAAATTAAGAACAATTTAAAAATTAAACTTAATGTAACTGATTGTTTTTTGTTGTTGTTCTATGATATAAAATTTTACTTTTCTCGAATTAAAAGTTTACATTTGGTTGAACTAAATTTTTATATTGAATTTCTTTTGTAATTTTCTTAGAAATTTGTAATTTTGAAATTTTATTACATTTATTTGCTTGTACTTAGTTTCTATTGGATTTAAAAAGAAAAACATTTTTGTTTGTAGTAATTTATTATTTTATTTTTGAATAATGTTTTATATAGTTTTAAGTTGTGAAAATCAATTTAGTCAAATATTTATTATTTTTTTATAAATTTATAGTTTTAAGGGGTAAAAAGTAATTTAGTCAGACAAATGTTTATTTTGTATATTTATTATTTTAAATAGTAAAAAGTAATTGAGTCAGACAAATGTTTATTTTGTATATTTATTATTTTAAGTAGTAACTTTGAATTTGGTCAGACAGAATTTTTATTATTCCTTAAATTCATTTTGCAAGTAGTATAAAATAAAAATAAAACACAAATAAATTTTTTTTCTTCTTCGAATTTATAATTTATAGCAGTATGGAATCATTTTTGTCAGATAGAATATATTTGTTGTTGCTTTTGATAATTTTAAGTAGTAAAAATCAATTTAAATTAGGCGAATATAATTGTTATTCTTTATATTTACATCTTTAAGTAGTAAAAATTAATTTAGTCAGACTGAAATTTGTTTCTTTTTTGAATTTATAGTTTCAAGTATAATAAGAATTGATTAAGACCGGAAAATTATTTTTTGTATAGTATACAAATTTTATAATTAAAGTTATATATAATTTTACTATTTTTATTACATTATACTAGATTCTTTATTATTTTTCTTTTTTTTCTCTTTTCTTTTAATAATATTCAGTTTGTCTAAGTTTCGATATTGGGGAATTTTATTTTTTCCAGTTTGTGTGTATGCAAACATGTGTGTTTCTCTTGAACACAATCTCTGTAAAGCTATGTCACGTTACAATGAGCCAATTTGTATAAAGCAGTTCCAAATCTCGACTGCTTTAGGCATCCTTGATTCACGGACGAGTTAACAGTAACTCCGACTCGAGTGTACGTGGAAAATTAGGTGCAGCTGAGCGTACAGATAGTTTATAATATATATATATATATATATATATATATATATATATATATATATATATATATATATTCATTTTTGGATAGAACTAGTATACGAATATTTGATTGCCAAACCATAAACCGTGGAAGAAATGATGATACCTCAAAATAACTCACGTGTGACATTATATACAAACATGTGCTAATTAATTTCTCATCATCTGCCTTTCTTCTCCAACACGTCGTCTCTTATCGAAAATTCCCTTCCGTTCCTCTAATTTATCATAATTTTTATTTTACATTTCATTTTTTCTTTCAAAAACAAATATTTTTACATACAGTTAGTTACAGAAACTTTCTTTTTCAAATTTAATGAAAATTTATTATTTTTTTTCAAAAATATGATATTTCGAAATATATTTCTTCAAAAATACGATTTTATTATTTCAAAACAATTTTTAAAAGAAATAAAATAAAATTCTTTCAAATATAAAATTTATTACAATGAAATTGGTCAAAAAATTGAAAATTTGAAAATTATTCCATAAAAGAAAAAATTGTATTATAACAATTGACATAATGTGTCCTCACTTGAAGTTAGTGTTGTTGTTATTCCAATTTTTTGTTTTATAGCTCGAATTTCTATGTCAAAAGTTTGACAGTTAATTTGTAAATAATAAAATAAGTGGAGTAGGAAAATTTAACTCCAATTTCAAAAACTCAATAAAGAGGTACAGTTGTAATTTTTAAATAAGAATTTTGTTTTTTCTGAATGTTTAATATCAGCAGGAAAATAATTGTCAATATTTTAGTTCTTTACAAAATTAACGTGTTTATAGAAATAAAATTATTTTTTAAAATTATTGTTTAAATATTATTGGCTGAAAAAAAGAGAAAAAAATTGCAACTAGAAAAAAAAACTTATTTGGAAAATCTCAGTCCTCATACAATAAGTGGAAGAGAGAATGCAGAAAATGCATGTAGAGAAAATCTCCCTTGGTACTTATATAAGTGCGCACTAATTGTTGGAACGAATCTCGAGTATGCCGAGTCGTAGTCGGCAGTTTAGGTATGTTAAATCAAATTTATTTCCTCTCTCTCTGTCTCCCTTGCCTCGAGAATAATCACGAGAAAATGTGAACGCAAATAGCCGCCTCCTTTGGTGAATATGAACAGAGTTCATGTTATTGTCTCTTCAGCATCCCACCGCACTAAATTTGTTTGCGCCCTTCGCATTTTCTTTACCCTATTATCCATTTTCTCTATTTTCAGAAAAATTCTCTAAACAAAATGAATGGAAAATTAGAGACAAAAAAATTTTTTGCATAATTAATTAAATATTACTAATTAAATTTTTTTTTGAGTTTCGCGCCAATAGAGTTCTTAAAATTGCCGCCTAGATGGCATGAAAATTCGCTCATAAACGAAATGAAGCAAATCATGAAAAATTGCTTCGTTTCATTAAAAAAAAAAAATCAACAGTATTGTAAAATGTAATAAAAAATAAATTTAAAATAATTCTTATTAATGGATAAATTTATACCTAGAAAATAAAATAGAGGAAAAAATATAATTTAAAATCAAATAGTTTTTTTAATTTTAAATATATTAACAATAATTTACTGTAAATATTTATTATTCACGAAAGAAGAAAATAATTTACGACTACTATAATTTGAAATGACCCTGCAATTACTTGACTGACCCTTATTCGAATTTATTTGTAAAACGCCTAAATTATCGAATAAAGGAGAATATAAACGTTTGATAGCTGACTATTCAGTGCCTCGTTGACCGCATATCTCTATTCACGTGAACTTACATAACACTCCTGATAAAAAAAAAATGACAAATTCTATTATTAATTTTCCATTCTTAAAAATTTACACATTTTTAAAATATTTATTCTTTTCCAATTAAATATTATTAATTCTTACTTTGAATTTTGCGAAAAATTATCCCATTTTTATGACAATTTTTCTTTTTTACTGATAAAGAAAAATACATTTTTTTTCATCAAAAAAGAAAGAAAAAAAGAAATTATGCTTAAAATCTTTGATAAAACGAAAACAATAATATTTTCATGGGGAAAAATGCTTAATTAAAAGTGAACATTAGTATGAAAGTTTTCTTCTAGAAATGTGCGCTTCAAATGCCTCAATTAAAATGAAGCGAGAGTTTAAAATCAAGTGGAGAATGCTTGGTGAAATTGTAATTGGATTTTCAAACTGCGTTGACTCACGCTCTGCATTATATTAATTATAACGTCAGTTGCCATGGTTTTATTATAGACATCTGGATTGAATGGTAACGCATACAGATAATATCTACTCCACTAGTGCGTTATATTCCACAATAATATTGCTTATAAATTCAGATCCATCAATAATACATATATATAATAATAATAATTTCAAATGTCTGATGCAATTCTACCGCAAAAATTTTTCTATCTTAAAATCTTTACCCTAATTAAAGATATAGTTATTACCAAATTGTATAAATTCTATGAACAGCATAGACAAAAAAACCAGGGGAAATTTCATCTACTTTGCTAAATTGTTTAGTTAATTTTCCTGCAACATAAAAAAAATTTATTTTAAAAGAATTTTGCAAAGTAAAGATGCTGATAAATTAAAATTTAGCTAAATAAGACTTAAGCAGCAAAAGAAATATTTTTCTAAACAGATAAATAAAAATTCTGCTAACTAACAACGAGGCTAAAAAAATATTCTGATGAATGGAAACGAAATTAAGAAACGTAAGAAATACTTTATTAAATAAAAATTCTGCTAAATAGCAACGATGTTAAAACAAATATTCTGCTGAATAAAAAGTGAAGTAAGAAACGAAAATAGCAACGAGATTCAAAAAATATTTTGCAAAAGAAAAAATTCTGTTAAATAAAAATGTACTTAAATTAAAATTCTGTTGAATTTGAATGTATTTAAAAAATATTATATAAAATAAAAATCCTGCGAAATAAAAGCGGAATTAAGTATAAAAATTCAGCTCAATAAAAACGCTTTATAATATAAAAGTTTACCTAAATCAAGAAGAAAAAAATTTGTATTTATAAAAATTCTTGCAAATAAAAATCAGCTAAGTAAAACTTCTGCTAAAAAATTCCACTAAAGACGTGCTGTTTAATATAAAATTTTGCTAAATGAAAACCTAATTGAAAAAATTCTTTTAATTATAAACCTGTTAAATAAAAATTCTGCTAAATAAAAATTGTCTACATACAAATTCAGTTAAATAAAAATTCCTCTAAAAAAATTATGTTTTAATATAATTCACCTGTTAAATAAAAATCAGCTAAATGAAAAATCAGCTAAGTAAAACTTCTGCTAAAAAATTCCACTAAAGACGTGCTGTTTAATATAAAATTTTGCTAAATGAAAACCTAATTGAAAAAATTCTTTTAATTATAAACCTGTTAAATAAAGATTTTGCTGAATAAAAATTGTGCTAAAAAATTCTGTTGAATTTAATAATTTTGCAAAATGAGAACTTTATTTAAAAAAATTCTATTAAATAAACACCTGCTAAATAAAAATTCTGCTAAAGAATTGTGTCAAATTTAGTAATTTTTTAATATGAAACCTATTTGAAAAAAAATTTTTCTGCTAGATAAAAATTCTGTTACATTAAATAATTATTCAAAATGAAAACTGTGTTTGAAACAAAATTTTTTGTATGAAAACCAGTTAAATAAAGATTCTGGTAAAGAAGTAGCTAAACAAATAAATTTGAACGAGTTTAAAAAATATTCAGTTAATCAAAAATTCTGTCAACTAAAAACATAATTAAAGAAATATTTTGTTCAAACGAAATGTAAATAAGAAACGAAATTAAGAAATACCTTCTTAAATGAAAATTCGGCTAAATTAAAATATTCCTAAATGAAAGCAATGATAGAGAAATATTTTTTCATATAAAAACGTAATTAAAAAAATAACTTGATATGTAAAAATTAGGCTAAAAGACATTTCATTTATAAATATATTCTGCTAAATAAAATAATAAATAAAAATAAATAAAATTCCGTAAAATTAAAAATCTGTTAAATATTAACATATTTTAAGAAATATTTTGCTAAATGAAAATTCTGCTGAATAAAAAAGGAAGTTTATGAAATATATTGCTAAATAAAAAAAACTGCCTAATTACAGACGTGGTTAGAGAACTATTTTATAAACTAGTTTCTACGAAAAAACGTAGTTAAATTAAAATTCTTCTAAACATAAAAACAGTTAAGAAAATATTCTGATAAATAAAAATTCCGCCAATCAAAAACATAACTAAATTTAAATTTTAAAAATAAACATAGTTTTAAATTTTTATTAATATTAACGTAGTTAAAGAAATATTTTGCCAAAGAAAATTTTTACTAAATAAAAAAGCAGTTTAATGTAAAATTTCTATTAAAAAACATTCTTTTTAATAGGTGATTGGATATAAAATATTTAAGGAAGAAATATTAAAGGATTACAATATTAAAAGAATTACAATATTCAATTGAAAATACACATATAGTAGAATTTATCTGAATACATGAAACAAATAGCAGAGATTAAAAAATAAAAGAAACTTTACTCATTGGATATACAATCTATAAGTTTCTATTTTCTGTCATTTTATATAGGGATTATTTATTAATCTCGGTAATAATTATCAAAGGAGAAAATAGAAAATGGAAAAGAAGAAGAGAAAAAAAACTTCACTAATCCCAATATCGCTAGTATTAAAAAGAAATTTTTAAATATAAATACCCCGAAAGAGTTGTATATTGCATACACTTAACTGGTACACGATATACCTAAATGTACGAACAATATTTTTAGAGCCGGGAAAAATTGTATCGTTGAATTTACATTGGAAAATTGTAGGTAAATGGAATATTTTTCCTATAAAGTAGAAGGAGATAAGGAAAAAAGAAAAAAGAAACGATTTTGAGAGAGAGAGAGAGAGAGAGAGAGAGAGAGAGAGAGAGAAAAGGAGAGAATTATTATTCTGTATTAGAAAAAACATGCATTCGTTTTGAAATGAATGTAACAATAATATTTTTATTTCTTCTTTTTTTCTTTAGATAATTTTACAGTGGGAATATCGCATTTGATGACAATTGGCTAAATATTGAGTTAATATTCGTCCAAGGCTGGGAATAAAGAAACTTTTATTAAACCTCAATTGAGGCTCCGGATCTTAAGAGGGCACACGCGCGAACACACGGCAAATAAGTTGGCCCCTGGAGATAAAATTTTGAAGTTGTTCAAAATAAATTTTAAATTATTGTTTCTTGTACAGAATTTCAAGGCGAAACTTTTTTTTCTAATAAAAATTTTTTATATAATTTCTCGTTTTCACGTAAATTGAAAAAAACGTGATTTTTGAAGTTAAGAAATTTTCATGAATTTTTGACTTCAACTCGTGACTACTTCGTTAAATATTAATATTTTTCCACGAAATTTACACACAATATTCTTCAAACTATTCCAAAAGTTAAACAATATTTGGAAATTCAAAACAAAATTGTATGTCAAGGTAAATAATTATTTAAATAATTTTGTCGGAAAAATGATTCTCCTATTTTCAATTGAAAAAGTTGAGTGACGAATTTTCGTTTTCGGAATTTTGAAAATTAGGCTAAATATTTAACAAATAAATATTTGGCTAAATATTTAACAAATAAATATTTAACAAATAAATAATTGGCTAAATAATTAACAAATAAATACTTGGCTAAATATTTAACAAAAAAATATTTGGCTAAATATTTGACTAAATATTTGGTTAAATGTTTGGTTAAATATTTAAAAAATACATATTTGGCTAAATATTTGTCAGGTTTTGGCCCTAGAATGGTATATTTGTTTTCCTAATAGAAAAAATAATTACAATTTCGAATAATATTGATTTTAATTATTTTTTTTATTAATCAGAGGAAAATGAGTGTTATTATAGTGATATAGTTTGAACATAAGGTTTTGAGATGGGTCCTGACTATGGTTTGAAGGATAGAGATGAGATAATATCCGCCGAATGCCAGGATCGGAATATTGTCGGCCTACCAGGCAGCATAATTTCCTCTTAGAACAATGCGGGTCATGGGACACGTTCTAGTTTACCATTTTGCGATAAATTACTCTCTAGTTCACTGACAAAACAACTCGCAATTTTATAATTAACGCTAATTATGATAAGGTCCTTCTTGAAGTGAAATATTAATGATAAAGAATTCATTGCATGGAAATTTATATTAAAACAAAACTAAAAATTCTGCTTAATAAAATCGCTTTTTCATGTAAAAATTTTGCTAAATGAAATCCTAGTCGAAAAAAATTCTTCTACATAAAAATTCAGCTAAAGAAATTCAGTTTAATCTAATAATTTTGATACATGAAAATCTTGTTGAAAAAAATTCTTCTATATATGAAAATCTGCTAAATAAATAATCTGATACAAAATAATTCATCTACATAAAAACTCTGCTAAATAAAATGATTGTTTAATATAAAAGTTTTGCTAAATAAATAGCTTTAAATAAATAGCTTATTGAAAAAAATTATTTTAAGTAAAAACTTGTTAAATAAAAATCCTGTTAAATAAATAATTAGCTACGTAACAATTCAGCTAAATAAAAATTTTGTTAAAGAAAATCTGTTTATTTTGAAATTTTTTATATGCTAACCTGCTAAATAGAAATACTGCTAAATAAAAAATCTGATACAATAAAATTCAGCTAAATAAAAATTCTGCTAAATGAAAATTCATAAAAAATGCTACTTAATAACAAAATTTGGCTAAATGAAAACCTAGTTGAAAAAAATTCTTCTTTTTCAATACTTACTAAATAAATATTCAGCTAAATAAGAAATCTGCTATATAAAACTGTAATTAATTAAAAATTATGCTAAAGAAATTCTGTTTAATCTAATAATTTTTATGAATAAAAACCTAATTGAAAAAAAATCTATTTAATAAAAATTTAGTTAAAAAGAATTCTTTTAAATAAAAACCTACTAAATAAAAAATCGGACACCAAAATGTTCATCTAAATAAAAATTCTGCTAAAAAAATTTGTAGGCAAACTAATAATTTGCTAAATTAAATTTTACTCAATATTTTCTTAACTAAAGATTCTGCTAAATAAAAAAGGAGTTTAATATAAAAATTCTGCAAAAACGTCGTTAAAGAAATATTCTTCTGAATAGAAGCCAAGTATAAAAAAAACTACAAAATACAAATGCGTTTTAATAAAAATTCTGATAATTAAAACCTCGTATGATAAAATATCTTTTAACTAAAAAGTCTGATAAAAATAATCTGCTAAATGTACAAGAAAATATTTAAAAATTCATTGTACGTTAATTATACCTCGTAAAACTATAATGTGTATAATTACATAAAATTCGATGGAATCAACATTTTTCGATATGAAAGACTAACATTTCTGTCATTGGGAAAATTTTTACGACTATCAATATAGTACGTCAATTCAAAATGAACAAATAATCTGAAGTTTAAAATTAATTGAAAACAATTTTCTTTTCCTATGTGTTATATATAACATTTTACACCTTACCATTTCTTTTTTTCTTTCAATGTTGTTTCACTTTAAACCAGGGTTACATCCAGTTTTTAAAATATATGTTCATAAACGACTATATTGTATTATCTTAACTAAATAACTATATTCGAAGCATTTTTAAAACTGATAGTAAACAGAATACCTTGATAAAAACAACTCGTTCCAATAAACTTTTTAAAATACTCTTATCAAAGTGTACACTTTACAAATGAAGCAAGGAAGTCTTAATATACAATTTTAATTTTCTATCTAATATCGTAGTCAGTAAATAGTAAATGCAATCATACATATATACTTTTAACACATTATCTTTAAAAGAATTTTTATTTATTTTATCTTTTGTCAATTCATACTTGTAAAATACTGAATTTTCATTTCAATTTTACTATTGTCATTCTAGTATTCTAGTATTCTAGTCAGTAGAAATTATATAAGAAATTTGAAAAAGTAAAAGAATAAAACAATTTAGTGGATTTTTTAGAATAAAAAAAAAAAAAAAATGAAAGTGTGTTAATCAAAGTAAAAAAAAATAACGTATGAATTATAAGGTTTCAATAAATAGTGTATCGATTAAGAAAAACGTTATTGAGATTTAATGTTCCTTTAAGATTTTTTATTAAAAATGACTGACAACGAAAATAATGACAGTCACGTTTTAACTTCGTATAATGATGTAAAAATAGTGGAACGAAATAATATTAAAAGTGAAGTAGACAAAAATTTAATGAACGTTAAAGTTTATAAAAAACGATGGTTTATATTATTCATCTTCTGTCTAAGTTGTGGGATAAATTATATCTCATATGCACAGTATTCTATTATAACGAACATCGTAACAAGGTAAAGTTTAAAATTTTATTTCTTTCTTAATATTTATACTTTTCATTTTTTCTTTTTCAATTATTTATTTATTATAATAATTTCTAAAGAGAACTTTTTTGTATTAAATTTCTTATATTTTATATAATATATAAATTATTGTTATTACTAAATTATTATTATTATTGTTATTATTAAAAAAATTAATAATCAAAAAAACATTAATAACAACATTAATGTGTTATTAAATACAATTAATATACTAATAATAATTATTAAACGTCATTGTTTATTATCGACTAATGATAATAATAAATTACCTTCATTCGAACTAAATTCAAAATATTATTTATTTAAATTATAAACGGGTTTACAAAGTTGTACTCTTTAATATTTATTATTTAAATATTATAAACACTATACTGTTAATCAAAAGAATAAAGAAAATTTTTATAAGCATTATGAAATAAGATTTAACATTGTTTTGGAAAATAAATAGTTTTTTATGCTGGCAAAGAGAAATTTAAACGTGAATTCTATTATTATTGATAGTAATGATATATCATTATTATTATATTAAAATTATTCATATTATTAAATAGAATTAATATCATAATATTCAATAATATAGGTAATTATTGTTATTAATATAATTTTTTTGACTAACAATTACGTAACATATGAAATAAATTCAAAATATTAATATAAATATTATTAGGTATTATTATATTATTCTTAATATTGTCCTATTTGTTTTTGTAAATAAAATAAAAAATAAAAAAATATTTTTACTGTTATTATTTATTGTAATTAATTTTTGCAGAATTAAAAAAATTAAAAAACATAATTACTACTATCTTTTAAATTGAGTTTAATATTATTTACTAATTTAAATTAGTGACTGACCTTTTGCTTTTGAATTAGTAAATTATTAAATTTTACTAATAAATAGTAATTTCTACTAATTTATTAGCCAACTTATTTATAATTTATATAATTTAAATTTCTATTTCTATAATTTTTATAATTTAAATTTTAAAGTTCGAATTTAAAAAAAATATATTAAAAATTTAAAAATATTATGTCGGTCATTGGGTTGAAAATTTGACAATAAACCCATTTTGATAATCAGAGGAATTATTCATTAAAGGTACTATGGCGTATCAACAACGGCGGTTGAATGGACAATGATGATTTATTTGCTTATTTATATACCTCTAGTAATACCAGCAACGAATTTTTTTGAAAAAATAGGATTAAAATGGTCCATGATATTGAGCATCGGTTGCGTTACTATTGGATCATGGATCAAAGCATTCTCAGTGGCACCTGATAGATTTCATATTGCATTTATTGGCCAATTTATTAGCGCAACAATGATGGTAAAAATTATTTTCATTTATAAAATTAATTAAATGCAATATGTAATATTTAAATTTTTTATGGGCAGCAATAAAACTTTATATTTAATTAATAATTATAATTAGTGTAGTACTCAATTTTGTGTATAGTAATTAATTCTTTTCAATTAATTAGTGCGCAGAAATTTATTCTATTTAATTAATTAGTACAGAAATTTATTCTGTTTAATTACTATTTAGTTAGTATATTGGTTACAATTAATTATTATTCTGTTAATATTATTATTGAATTATTAATTAGTTATTAAATTGTTTTTTTAAAAAAAATAGTAAAGAGATAAATTATTTTGTCAATTGTTATAATAATATTAATAAAAATTTCAGGTATTTTATGCTTCTGCACCAACTCGTGTTGCGGCAAATTGGTTTCCTTCCGACCAAGTATCGACGGCAACCTCTCTTGGCATTTTTGGCAGCTTATTAGGCATTGCCTTAGGTTTCTATATTCCTCCAATTGTCATTAAAAATCATGAAAATTTGGACAAAATAGGAGAAGAAATGCAACTTCTTAATTATATTTATTCAGGCATAACAACAGTGACGGCTGTCTTCGTAATTGTTTGTGAGTTTCTTTAAAAAATTACTTAAAACAATTTATTTATTTATTTTTTTGAAATACTCTAAATTATTTTTTAAAGAAAGCATTTTAAAAATAAAATTATTATAAAAAATGTATTAAAATTATTTTTTTATAATAATTTATAATAATTTTTTTAAAATCTAATTTTTCTTAGTTTCCAAATTAGTTTTTCTTAAAAATAAAATGAGATAATCTTTCCATATGACAATGAATTTTATACGAAAGTTATAAAAAATAAAAAAAAGGAATAAAGAAAATCAACTTTTTAGTTTTCAAAGAAGAGCCAGAGCTACCTCCAAGTGCTGCACAAGCACTTTTAAAGGTCAATCGAATCGAAAACCAGGATAGTTTCATTGCACCATTGAAAAGACTTTTCACGAACAAGTATTTTCTACTTTTATTCAATTCACATGGTTTGAATGTTGGTGTTTATAACGCCACTGCAACATTGCTCAATCAATTCTACATCACGCACTTTCCTGTACGTATATAGAAAAAAAATATTTTTTTAAAAAATTTAATTATTATTTTTCATATTTCTTTTCGAAATATTTTTAATGTTTTTAATATTATAATATATAATACAATAACTATAAATTAAATTAAACTAAATTAATTTAAATTTAATTTAAATTCAATTTCAATTTAACATAAATTTTTGTTTTTAGATCTAGTTCTGATTTTAATTTTTACCTAAATTTGAATTTTGACTTTAAATTCAATTATAATTAAAAATTTAAAAATTAGTTATTTGTTTCATTTTTTTTAATTATTAAAGTAATAAATTACTTAATATTAATTAATAGAGTAAATAAATAAATAAATCTTGTTTAATTGTATAGAATGGAGAGGAGGAAGCAGGACAAATTGGTTTACTTATTATCCTCACTGGAATGCTGGGAGCTGTGTGTTTTGGGCTTTTGGTAGATAAAACCCATAGATACAAGTAAAATATCTCTTTTATTGATAAATAAATGTAATTTTTTTTAGAAAACTTCAATTTTATAAATATTTTTTACAATAACTTTTTCAGATCGGTTGCCATTGTTGCCTACTTCTTGAGTTTATTGGCACAAATTCTATTCGCAATAGCACTGAATGTCGAAGTCAAGTGGTTAGTTTTTGCATCAGGAATATTTTTGGGGTCAGTAGACAACAATTTTTAATTTAAAAACATTAAAAGTTTATTGAAAAAAAAGTTTGAATAGAAAATTTCCTTTTAATAGAAAAGGAAATCCTTTTAGACTAATATTAAAAGGAAAATCCGCTTATAGTAAAAGGATTCCTTTTTACTTAAGTGAACTGTTTATGAGTGTATAAATACTTGTCAAGAGATCCAAAAATTTATTAATATATTCCGATTTTATTTAATTATTATTATAATCAGGTATATTAATCACAATTATTATTTATTAAATTATTAATTAATAATAATTAAATTATTAATATTTTCAAACTGTTGCTGATTAAATTTCCAGTATATTTTAATTATTATTATATGATTTTTGTTTTCTAATTATTATTTAAATTAAATTATTATTATATATATGGGTGATTCTCCACAAAGTGGTAACTTTTTAAAAAAAAATTAATTTGTTTGAAAATTTCTTATGTAGATCTTTTTAATAAAGCTTGAAAATAATTATTTTGTTGATATTTAAATATATCAAAATATTTAAATACAAATAAATTTTTATCGATCGAGTAGGTACTCTATCGATCTATGGTAGAGAAAATAAATTTTGAAATAAACATAAATACTTTCATAGAAAATGGCACATAATTTTCACTCACGTTACACAGGAAAAATATGTTTGAATTAAATATGTTTTATAATTGAATTACATGTAATTTTTATTGAATCAAACTTATTATTTTTATGTTGAATAAAAATTATTATGTTTAATTAAAAAAAATTTGGTTGACTGTATAACAAAGATAATTATGTTTCATTCAAACATATCGTTTAATATTAATATAATTAATAAAATAAAAAAAAAATATAATAAAAATATAGGTAGTGTGCATATTTAAAAATAGCCGGAACGGGGTCCAACCCTGACTATGTTCCCCTAATTATTAGCAAAATCGTGACTAACTTTTGTTGCAGTAATTAGTAAAAAAAAAATAATTATTAGTAGAAAATTACTAATAACTAGTAAATAATTACAACAATAGTTAAATTTCACTAATTGAATCAATTATCAAAAATTTCAGTTATTTTGAGACCTAAATTAAAAATAAATTTAATTAATTTAAATTTATACAGTAGTATTATTATTTATCAAAAGAATTCTAATAAAAATATTTCTTTCTTCTTTAGATTCAGTTTGTCAGGTTACTATGCATTAGGATATGAATTATGTGTGGAATATACATATCCGGAATCAGAATTCATGACCGTTGGAATTCTAATTGTATCGTCCGATATATATGGCATTCTTTTGGTGACAATTCTTGGTGAACTGTGGACCGTTTATGGAGAAATTGTCGCACACATTGGTCTTTGTTCTGCTCTAGTGATTGGCTTTATTATCACAATTTTCACAAAGGACGAACAACGTCGTGAGAATGCGAGAAAATCAACTTTATACACAAATGTATCAACGAGGGAAGAAATTATAAATAAACAAAATTCTAACATTTAGACAAGTCGATTTTTGTGATAGAAATAAATTTATTTCTATATTTTTTTTTATTACGATTTTATTGTATTTGATTTCAATTTTGTTATGTTATTAAAATTAAATTCCGTTATTAAAACTTTATTGTTTATTAATAAAAACGATGAGATAATCGATCACTCCGAATCAGGATTTATTGTTTATTAAAATTTTATTTTGTTTTGAAAATTTTTTTTTAGGGTACTATTCTTCTATTGTATTATAATTTTCGTTTTTCGAAAATTTATCATTCTTTCAGAGAATTTGTAGGAAATTTTCGAAATTAATTACAATTTTCACTAAAAAGTTATTAAATTAATTTTTTTTAGATAATAATCCTCGTTTATTAAACGACTAATCGTCTATTTTACGGTAGATTCTCATCGCCATCTGCGTCAAGAATGAGAAAGGATGGTTTGTAGAATCGTCGAAACTATATATATATGTATATAATACGAAACGGCATTTTCCACCAAGAAAATAGATGTGTTATCTACAGAAACGCCAAAGTTGCATTCCTCGGAGAAATCAAAATCTCATTTAATCGTATAAGATTTCGATTTTACGATAAAGCATCGACGTAATGGGAAATAATGTGCACGAATATATAATACATAATTATCAGTTTATTATAACTCGAGATGTTATCAATGAAATTCTAAATATACTGTTTTATCAATTTTTAACTAAAAAATTTAATTTCAATCATAAATAATTGTAAAACTTGAAGACTTTAATGTTTCAAGAAAAAAATAATTACTTCATCATATGAGAAATCTCGGTTAGTATATTTGTAGGAAATGAAAATAATTTTTTATTTTTAAAAATATTCTTTTTCGTTTTCTATTCCCAGCTGAAAAAGTTTTATAGAATTACACTAGAATTATTCTATATAATCATTCTATAAGAATTCTAGTGAATATTCTATAAAATTTCACTAGAACGATTCTATAAAATTTCTACATGGATTCTATTAAATTTTAGTGATATTTAATTAGAAAAAAATAAAAATTAATTTTAAAATAAAAAAATAAATATAAATTTTGTGAAATAATTTTTTTAACATTATATTATTGTATGGTTACTACAGGACTCGAACTAAGTCCGTAAATCCTGTAAAGGTTTGTAAATTCGCATCAAATCCGTAAAAGTCAGTTTTTTTGAAAAAAGGTTCGTAAAGTCAGTAATTTTACTAAAACAGGACGAAAAGTTCGTAAATTGTACAATATAATATGGAAAATTTTAGAGAAATTACAAATGATTGCAGAAATCAATTATTTTGAAAAGTAATAAATTTCTTCGAAAAAAATCAATTACCTATGTTCAAAAATTTTTAAAAATTCTCTGCAAAATTTCAATTTTCTTTATAAATAATAAAATTCTTCGCCGAAATTCAATTATTTTCAAAAATTTTCCTCAATTCAATGATTTTAAAATATCTATTATTTTAATATAATTTTCCAAAAGAATACAAGTATTTAAAAAAATTTTAATAAAATTCTACGCAAACATTTAATTATATTCATAAAATAATAAAAATTTCACAAAAATTCAATTATTTACAAATTTTCTATAAATTTCTTCGCAATATAATTCAATTATTTTTATATACATAACATAATTAAAATTTTAGATAATAATTGAATATTAAAAGCAATATAGCGTGCATTTTTAGAAATATGTAATTGAATTTTGAAATTAATTTTTTTGAAAAAATCTAATTGAATTTTTTTTATATTATTTACAGTTTTTATTTTCTAATATATATTTAATTAAAAAATTTACGAATAATTAAACTTTGTAAAATTGAATATTGTAAATAAATGGATTTTGAAAATTGTCGAAGTATTTTTTCGAAAATTAATTGATTTAAAGAAAAATTTTTGCGAAAAATTGTTAAAAATAATATTTGAATTGAAATGATGAAAATATTTTTGAAGAAGTACAATATTCTTAAAATATAAAATCATTATTTTATATTATAAGAGTATTTTTACTGTAACTTCTTAAAAATTATTTTCATATTCTATTTTGATCTAAAATTTAAACTAAAATTCATTTTCAAATCAATTTTTATTAGAATATTCTACGAAAATTCAATTATTTTAATAGAAAAGTAAATTATTTATTGAATAATTGAACGTTTTTTTAAATTTGATACTTATAGAGAATTTTATTAACAAATTTTTAAATAATTTGAAGAAATTTTTAATTTCTTTTGACGAATTTTAATAAAATTTTTGAGAATAGTAACATTTTTTTTAAGAATTCGATTAAAATTGTATTAAAAATAATTGAAATTCTGCGATGAGTTTTATTATTTTTGAAAATAATTGAATGACTGAGATGAAATTTATAGAAAATTTGTAAATATTTGAATTCCTGGGAAATTGATATTATTTATGAAAATAATTAAATGTTTGCGTACAATGTTATTAAAATTGTTTTTAAATAATTTAATTCTTTTCGGTAATTTTATTGAAATAGTAGATATTGTAAATAATTGAAATCACGAAATTTTTTGAAAATAATTGTAATTTTGACAAGAATTTTATTAAAATTTTTGTAAATAATTGAATTTTGATTTTGAAGAAGAATTTTTTTTTTTTTAAAGATAATTGTGATTTTGTCGAGAATTTTTTTTAAATTTTGAAGATATAATTGAATTTTTTCATTTTTGGTTCATAAAGTCCGTATTTTTGAATACTTTCACTGGTTCGAGCCATGTTAATAAGTTAAGTGATTAAGTATATATTTGAATGATATAAACAATTTTTGCCTAAAATTTGTCATAGAAATCAAATGTAAAATTTAATTACACTATAATATAAGCTAAGCTAAGTTGAAGAATATAATATTTGATCAGAAGAATTAAAAAGTTTTTAACATCTTTTCACTAATTACGAATTGCGACTGATCAACATTTTTAACATCTTTTATTAAACTATAATATAAAGTTGAAAAATATTATTTAAATTTTTTCTAATTAAAAGTCACTAAAATTTAGTAGAATTCGTATAGAAATTGTATAGAATCATTCTAGTGAAATTCTGTAGAATATTCACTAGAATTCATATAGAATTATTCTATAGAATGATTCTAGTGAAATTCTATACAACTTTTTCAAGCTGTGTATTTACATAAAACAATTAAATAATGTTTTCGGATGGTTACCTTGCCAGATGTTGCGCGCGAGAGTAGTTGACTTGATAACTTCTCAGACTTTGGAGGTTCTAAGGGTGTTGGGTTGTTGGGGAGGGGGATTAATATCGCAACGCTGTTCCTGGAAATTGTCCCTACTCTATTAATGAGGGACGACAATGCGAATGTTGGAGACGCGGTATATGCATGTTTCACAGTAACGTATATTCTAATGCATGTACAGCAAAATTTATGGAGTAAACGCAGACCAGATGGCGCACAACCACCCGTTTCGCGGTAAGGCCAGCTTCAACGGATGTCCGATCTAGCTTAACAGAATCTCATTGTCAGTTTATGCAATTAAATACACTGAAATCTATAGCAAACACAATTGTCTATCTCCATATCGTGCACGCACATTAAGCATATAAACTTGAGACATATGGTCACGTACGGCATATCATACTGTATATATATGATGTAATTTATAATCAGTGAGGATATAATATTTATATGATTTATGGCACAATAAATTTAATTTCAACTTTAAAAATGCCCTAAATAATTTTTTAATCCGTAATAACACAAAAAGGCAAAAAAGAAAAAAATTTTCAGAAAGAAAGTATAATAATAAAAGAATTTCTAAAAAAATTCTGTAAATTTTTGTTTCTTTTTCTTCACTCAATTGTTGATCCTTCTGTGTTTGTAAAATGAAGTGTTTCACTCATTGTGTCTCTAAAAGTTCCACCTAATTAACAAGAGAGCACTAAACGCTAATTGTAAGATGAACGTACAACTAAAAGAGAATTGTCTCCCTAGTGTTTCTCATTAACACAAACGTGCGTCTCATTAAGAATATAAAGAAACACACTCGGAAAATATCAACGAAAATAATAATAATAAAACTTTACTGTCTCGTCTGAAAAAAAAATCTATTCCCCATTTTTGAACAATTAGAACAATACACAAAAAAAATACTAAGCATTGAGAAAAAAAATTGTTTACCCAAAAAATAGCATTTTTTAGAAAAATCAAACTTCTTTTTTCTTTCCTCAAATGTATTTGAGAAAATGCGACAAAACAAGAAAAGTGACAATATGACAACATTCATTGTCGTGTGCCGCAAAAGCTTTACGGGACGTTTGAGAATTAAGAGAAAATTAAGGGGGGTGACAGGGGGATGGTTCGACACTAAACTCCACTTGCTCATGAATCTAGAATACGTGACTGACTTGAAACTTAAGGGAACAGTTACATTCCTCTTTGGTGCACTCAGGTTTATTAGATTCTATTGGATAGCGTCCAACGGTTATGAAATTGTTAAATCCGTTACATATATCCTATGGTTTCCGGTCGCAGTTGTTTGCCCTACAGTAATATACGAAACATAAAGAATAATTTTCTTCTCTAACTGAAAGGATAAAATCAAATTTACATATTGCTATAAATTTTACAATGTACTTTTTCTGTTTCTTTTTTCCTACTTTTAATGGAGTTCTGACTTCATCTCGAAAATTTAAGTAACATATTGTATATGAGATGATAAATGTGACATATGATAATTAAATTTAGTGGTAAAAACAATATATATTGCACTAGAGTGGTAATATATTTAACAGATGTTGAAAATTCAAAGAAAATATAAATTAAATAAATAATAAATATTAATATATAAATTAATAATTGAATATTAATTTAAATTTAATATTAAATAATAAATAATTTTTTAAAATTAACAAATAAATAATTGTGTAATTTAAAATAATTTATTAATTTATAAATTAACTGAATCAAAAAGTGTTCCTCTTTTGTAAATCTTTCCAAAAATAGAACTCATTTGCCTAAATTTCTCTTTTAAAAAAAGTTTTATTCAAAGTTCAAAAGGTGGTCCAATCATGATTATCTTCCCCTATTAAATAAAATTTATATAAAATTAAATTTTCATTATATAAAATTTTCTTTACTTATA